CCTAACGTTCTGTGATTCTGTGATTCTAGGAAAAGATCAATAGACTCTTTAGAAAAAAAACCTATTTGGACATGTTAAGTGACAAGCAGGAGTTGCAGGCTCACTCTCTCTTGCTGATACTGCACGTAGAAATAATTTTGTTCCTAAAAGCAAGTATCACAAAGCCAACCAAAGATCCAGAAGTCTTGCTTTTCATGGCTGATTTAGAGTCATCAAGAATAAAGGTCTCAGGGGCCTATTGTGCCATTCTTGATATCTATGCGAAACTGAAAAAGATGTGCTTATATGGACATCTGCAGGGTGCGGGAGATTCTACCCATATAGATTAAGTGTTGTGAATTAAACAGCTTTGATGTCAAAGCAGTAACACACCCTTCTCCCTTAAAAGTAGAATGCATTTTGGTTTTGACAGCACAAACAACAAAATAACACTATATTCTCACAATGAAAAGATCAGTTCAGGTATGTTCCTTTGTAAGATGTGTCTCTATTCAGACAAAAAAACGCATTTAAGTTTTGATCCATTATTTAATACCTTCATTTTCACTATTAAAACATGCCATTTCTGACAAAGATAAATCACATTCCACATAAACTTTGCTGGTCTCTTCTCATGTTAGCAGAGTTCTGTGAAAATTCAGCAAAAATTCCAGTTCCAGCAAAGTGGAGGGGGCAATAACAGAGGGCAGAAATTGTTTTCTCTACATTGAAGTATTTGGCTCAGTAACCTTAATGGATGACTGATGCACCATTCTTTACGTGTCTCTGAGCCAACTCTGGTGAATAGTACCCATAATGTTTTGACTACGTAGTATAAATTATATGTTTTATTGCTGACATGCTAGCACAAAGGTGTTTCTAGTACGACTTACACAAAAGTACGGATGAATCCGTTTGTAGATTTCACTTCAAGACAGCATTTTTACGTGGAGGCAGAATTGTTCAAAGCCTATTTGAAAATCAGTGCGTACTTAAGCGCTAGCTCAAAGAGAGACCTGAATGAAGACTGAAAGAGTAATCCTTTAAGTTACCACTGGGTGCAACACATGCAGAAATAGACTCTTCTGCAGCTGCTTTTCTCTATGCCATCAGTGGCCTTCTTTTAACCTAGTTTGTTTCAGAGGTCCTACATCAAGTTCTGATTTCATATATATTTATAGTAGATTCTAAGAGAGGTTTGAGAACAACCTGAATAGGCTTAAATTGTTTTTCAAATAATACTTAATAACAAGTGTTCCCTACAAATCTTTTCTTCTTTTTCTTTTTTTTAAACAGAAAACACTTAGAGCAACTCAAAGAAGAAAGTATGTTAGCTGAGGAACGACATCAAAAGAGTATAGAGCAATTAAAACAAGAAAAATTAAATGAGGTTAATATTGCCCTGAGTATTGCACAAAAGGAGAATCAGATTGAGACTGAAAAGAAGCTCAAAGAAGCAGAAGCCCTACATCTTGATGAGCTGAAAAAAACGATGGCTATGCTGAAAGCAGCAGAAGAACAGGTAAAGACTCTCAAGCAAAAACTGGAAAAGCTGACAGATTGGAAAGACAGTCTGGAAACTGAAATACAAGCAACAAGACAAGCTTTTCAAAAGTATATTGAAGCCACATTTCCTAACCTGTCCCCTGGACAAGCAGATTTTATTCTGCCATTCAGAAAAGCGTTTCAGCAGAAGGACACCCCAGAAGAAGTAGAGGACAGTGACAAGGAGTATAAGAGAACCAGTACTGGAAATGTGAGATTGACAGCCATGGGAGAACAGAACTCCAAATAAGCAATGGTGAAAAATAAATTAATCTCTGTTCACTGAATTGTATGAGTGCGGTTAGAACTATAAAGAGAACAATAACCACCACTATATTAAATAAAGATGCTTAGAAATTAGGCATTATTTTTTGTTTTACAAATGCTAGGGCAGAGATTGGAACATGTAGCACTTGAGGAGCTTCCCACTGAGATCTTCTTGAGAAGGAAAAAACCTGAAAATCTGATCAGAAAATCTGTTGCTTGGTTAAGCATCAGTGCTTGAACTGTGAAGGCTCTTGGCTCTCGCCCTGAATACTCGGGTGTGGAATAAGACACACAAGCTCTGAACACCTGCAGCTTGGGTTCTCAGATTTACAGGATGGTTATTCTATGTAACTGTGTATGTCTATGTAGAGTACTTGCAAGTGAGTAGTTACATGATCTGAAAACTCACCTGGCTTGAGAGATAGATTTTGGGCAAAAACTTATGTGCCAGAAGGCATACAAAATAACTTTTCCGTGGGAGGACTCAAGTTTTTCTGTTTGCACGTGCTTGAAGCCTGCGTGGCTTTAGGCCAGCCTCAATACATTAATTGGGTCTGAGATTCAGCCTGCCTAAATTTGTCTTCACTGTGTAATAAGACTTCTCACAGCATTCGCTTAATATTCACTAAAGTTTTGTGTCTGTTTCATTTGTTACCTGTTAACCTGAAAACGCTGTATAGCATCTTGAGTGTGAGCTGAGGAATGTAAAGGAGTTGGTCTTTACTGTAGGTGATAGAAGGTATAATATGAAGGAAACTCTCCATAGGCATCTTGATTAAGGGAAATTTAAAGAGCAATCTGTGCAGCTTCATGCTTAAAACCAACCCCAGAAAACAAAGCAGAATAATCTCACAGATATCCATCACTCCACCAGAATAAGAAGGGAAGGCAAGTGAAGTCACTGGTTTCCCATGGAACATATACAGTACTTTGAAAAGATATTTGGCACAGTCTGGCACTACTTCTGACCTAAATGGCTGTCAAATCTTACCTCACTGAATTGGGAAGCTCTTTCTGTGGAGAGTTGATGCTTCCTATTCTTTTTCCCTCTTATGCTCTCAGTGAAAAGAATCCAAACTGCACGTTCACAGTTGTCTAATCAAATGCATAAACTGCACAAAGCCCAAGATAAAACTTGTGTTTACATCTTAAAAGTTCTTCAGCAGTCTGAAATACTCCAGAAGCTCTATAAAGCATTTTTTAAAGAAAACATTTACATGTGCATTAAGCATAAAAGTCTTTTGAAACTACATGAGTAAAATATTGCAGCTAAAGTGCTGGCAGCTGCATCATGAAATACCTAAAGCAGATGGATGCTCTCTGTTGGGTTAGCTGATTAAAGGCTCACCTCAGTGCATGACATGGAGCCCAGAGGCATGGTGGCAGCCAGGGGAATCCCAACAGCTCAGTCAGAGGAATAAGCCTAAATCCAGCCCCTCCTGGGGCATTCCAAGAGGGTGTCAGCCCCACGGACTGTGAGTGAGAGCCATCACTGGGAGTCAACGCGAGAAGCTCTTCTGAAGCACCTTGCACACTGAGGTTGAATACAGCCTGGAGGTAAGGTACTCCATATGGGAATGCAGGGAAGAGCATCTTGGGGTTGTACATGGATTGTACAAGGCTTATTATGGGATGTTTAGAGAAAGAACCAAAGGTGGGGAAAGGAAGATCAAGGTGGTTTGTGGAAGAAAAAGAGTAGAGAAAATAGAAGGATGAGGGATAAAAGAGGCTGGTTACATGTACACCGGGGCTGGTCATGGCTGGCCATGCCCTGTGCCTGATCAGTACAATCTGTCTTGTCTTTTCATTGAACTTCATTTACAACGTGGTGCACACCTTTCTCTATGTGCATGTGTATGTATGGATGCCCACCTGCCAGCAGCTGGAGCTGGACCACAGATCACAGGGGCTGTGTGCCCAGCAACTGAAGAAACTGTAGCACATGTTATGTGGGTACATATGTCAGTGTGTAATCACTAGCCAATACTGAGACAGAGTAGCTGACAAAGAGTGTAAGAGGCGTGGGAGCTGTGGTATGTGAAGGACAGGACTTGCGGGGATTGATAGGAAGTAACCAGTGCAGATGCTCAGCTGTGTTATCAGAGCCACCCTGGCTCCTACTTGTTTGACACTGAATCAACCGAGTGACACCTGGGGTGAGGGGGAAGCCTCACAGCCTCATGTTACTTTGGTGAATCTAAGCAGACCACTTTTAATTGCCTCTTTTGTTCTTTCCCTCCCCCCCACCCCCAGCTTGATCAAATTCATAATGAACCTTGTTAAGGGCCAACCAACACACAATAATTTACTTAAGTCCCACCTCACCAGGAGTCTAAATCTGACATTTCGAACCCTCCATTTTGGGGGTGAGGAAGGCAAGAACACCAAGTATTGGATGGGTTGATTGGCCTGGATATCTCTCCCTCCCCAAGCAGGGATGCCTTTTTGGTGAGAATTGTGATAATTAACTATAGCGCCAAGTATCAGTTTATGCTTGCTTATTGTAGTATATGCATGATTAATGGTAGTTAATGTTACAGTGATATACAGTTTAAATTTTGGGATGACATTCATATTTGTGTAAGACAGTGTACTTATCACTGGCAATTCCAAATCTGTTACATCTGTTGCCTTAATAAATCTTTTTCAACTTTGCAAATCTGTTTCAGTGAAAGTCCCTGAGAGGGCTCTGAACAGGCAAACGTTGACTCTCGTAAGTGGCTCCTCAAATAATCCCTATTAAACATAAACTGTTGACCAAGTCTGGGACAAAGACTGGGTCCAGCTGCACCTAGGCTCCTCTCTGAGAAGGAGTTTAGAGAGCAAGGAGGTCCTTTCTGAACCCTGTGACTCAACAGGAGGCCTTCCCTGCCCAGCCACATATCAGACGCATACTCTTCACGCAACAGAAGCCAAGTGACAGAGTGGCCCTAAGTTTAAGCCAGATACTGGAGAGACCAGAGGATCTGAGATTTGGCTACTTGAAGGACCAGGTGGTCAAAGCTGGTGACTGGAGAGGCTGAGAGGTCTAAGAGTTGGCTGCTGTTAAGGTGGTAAGTGTGAACCAGATACCAGACATGCTGTTTGCATGTGTGTCTGTGCATGAGGCAACATGATGAATGATTCTGCATCTTGCATGTCAGAAAACCAAGATGATGATGATGAAGTGCTTCAATTCCCTTTGAACAAACAGTTCAAGTTCTCTTACAGCAATAAGTAGATTTTTTTAAAATTATTTTTTTACTGGGAACACTATAATACAGTCATCATGTATCTCTGCGATGCCTTGGTGTTAGCATGTGTTTCAGAAAAAAAAGTCGCTCCGTCTTAAAGGTTAGCCCACTTTTTATCTGGGATATAGTGACAATGAATTATATAGACCATGGCTGTCTACAGGGGTGTTCTCTCTCGTGGACCTCAGTCCTGGAGATCTCAGTCATTCAAATGAGACCAAAGGCCCCTACAAGTGCACATCCCAGGGCCCTTCTAGGGCCTGTTTTGAGACAGATAGCAGGGAGTCCAGATCTGGTTGGCTGTGTCTGCACATATATATACTCCAGGAACGCTCTGGTGTGGACTTACCAGTGAACAGTCTGTTGGACACTGGTGTTGCTTCTCGTTGCCTTTTGGAAAAGGAAAACCATTTTGGCTTACTGTTTCCAAATGTGAAGGTGAAGTTGTGCTGGCTCTGCTTAGAACCAGCATGTCCTCTTCAGGCTGTGTACTTGGCTGTGTAGAGATGAGAGGAGCCACAGCTTGGCCTAAGTGAATAGCTCTGCAGTATAAATGGACAGGCAAGACAGCAAGTAGCAGATTCCCTATGGGACCTGGAGAGCTATTTGCCATGGATGCTGTTTGGTATTTCAAGGAAATATTTTAGAAAGTAAAGTAACTAATTAAGCCTAATTTATGAGAATTTTTTCCCCTTCTAGTTGTACTCACTGCACAATACTAATTATGCTTGACTGGCAAGCTGAAAAACAAAGGCTGTTTTTCGTATTCTGTAAGTTTATGCATGTCAGATATTTAACTAATGAAATCTGTGAGTACATGAGCTATTGGTAGCTAATAAAAATCAGGAGTTCAGATATACAAGCAAGCCTTTCTTTGCATGTAGCAGAGACAGCACATTTGTTGACTTGATTTTGTTCCTGTTTGAGAAGGATTGCAGCATGAAAAGTAACTACCCACTTGCACTCTGAATCAGAGAGAGCATGAATACGTGCTTTATGACTGCTTATCTGAATGATGCAAATGAAGCAGCATTCAGATAACATCTGGACACCAGGGTGGCAGTGATGGCACATATCGATGGTGGAGTGCATGAGACAAAACCTAGAATGGTTGTGTAATACTGTAATGAATAATAAAGACTGTAACACTGCAATGAATCATAAAGAGAGCAGGATTTCTCTGTTAGTCATTCAGTAGATGTCTAAAATTGCCAGAAAGTACCACAGTCTCAGAAACAGTGAAACTTTCTGTCTAAGATGATGCTATAACAGACTGAAAATTGGGTTGTCTAATTACTGTAGCTGAGCAGCTGAACTAGTAGGGAGCTGTGGAGTACGGCTGATAAGCCGCTAATTAATAAACTAGAGACATCTTGCTCGTTAGTCCCTCAAAGGTCTGCAGAAGAGATCTGTGATGCCTTAAAAGGAGGATATGCAGATTGTGAAATCTCTGAATCCCTGGCACAGAGAAATGAGGTGTGAAAAGAACTAATGATGCCGGTCGCATTTGGAGTGTGAGCGCACGCTGTCTGTGCGTGTCAGGCAATTAAGGAACCGCAGCGCCTCGCGGGCAGCAGACCGCAGAGCCAATGCACTGTCTGTGCATGGATGTAGTCGTACCCACACAGATATACACCGAGTAATTGTGATTTAAGTTGCTGATGTGATTTCCTTTGCTGGGCTTAATTAACGATAGTTCAGTGTTATGTTTGCTGCTGGTTAAAATACAGACTGACTACAGGAATATGCA